ACTCTACGTTAATACGTATTCTTCACAGTCGTAATTTATTCAATTTGTCATCCATACTTTCATAGAATTATATTTATGTTGATTCATATTTTATATAATGGATGTGCCTATGATAGCGAAATTGCTTTAATTATTGTGTTCGATAAATAGATACATATTCGAATAAATGAATGAATAATAAATACGAATTTAAATACGATGTTTTTGTATGAATTGTATAAATATCTTTTATTCAACTTAAATGAATATGATAACGAATATTTTCAATTTTGCATTCATTTCAATTCTGTCATTATAACCACATTATTTAATATATTCCGAATAGCAAATTTGATTTGGACGCATTCAATACGCACTGATGTATATTAAAGTCGCCATGCACAAATAGGCGTAGATGTGTTTAATATAAATATAAAAAGTTAAATCTTTAGACTTTATTTTACTGTCAAGAAAAAAATATGTTTTATAAATCGAAATATATATTTGCATTTCACGAATACATTAAGATTAAATCAGTGTACAACGGCTCTAATATGTATCAATTATATTGCACTATTGCGTCTAATTAAATTTGTTATTAGTAAACCATTGTTGGAATTGTCCACACAAGAGACATGTTAGCATTCAAAATAAAATGCATAAGATAATATAGAATTTTATTGAAATAATATGTTTATTGTAGTCTATAAAAAAGGATACAACGGAGAAAGAAGTGCACCTGTTAAAAGGTCGTGCATCGACATCGAGAAGAAACAATAAAGGATAAATGACGTTTCGCTCGGTTTTTTTGTTGTTGTTAATAAATCTATCCCTAAGTACGAACTATGGAAACACGATAATTAAGGAAATATAATTTCCTAGATTATAAAATATTTATATAACCCAGCAGTGATATCACTAATAGCTATGTAAAAAAATAATTAAGCATATAATTAATAATCATCAGGTTGATTTTTGCTTCAGTACTTTCTTCTATAATAGGTCTGAAACAAATTCACAATATGATTTTTAACAATATTTCTCATATATTATATAAATCATGACAGTGCGTACGATCGCGAAGCGTCACCACCGCAATTATAGTTCTCTCTTTTCTTTTATCATAATCACATATCTACTCTTGTATTAACTTGGCTTAAGTACAAGATAGTATAAGAATAACAGTCTTTACGCAAGCGATATAACAAGTATAATAGTCTCTTATGACACACGCATGAAAAATTTTGTCAGATTCAAAATAAAGAAACATATTGTTATATTGTCTCACTCAAAAAGACAAGTACGATAAATAAAACTAATGTGATAAATTAAAATTTAATTATAAAAGTATAATTTACTAAAAAAAACTATTAAAAATTATTTTAAAAATGTTTGCAAGTACTACAGGCATAACGTGCAGAAAAATAATAATAGTTATTTTGTCGTCATATAGAAAAAGCAAAAGTGCAAAAGGCGAAGACTTAATTCATCAATTATTGCTTCTTATCTTATCACGTCGGCGTACTAAAAATAAAATATATCTTGCTATGTTACAATAAATATAATATAAATACTACCAATGACATCAGGGCTACGTTCTAAATCTTTACTCTGAGTAAAAGAGATATTTCGTATAGTTGGTTTTTATTTCAAAACCTTATTTGAGATGTTGAAATACGACTTCGTCTTCTTTTTCTTCTTTTTAATGGACATGGTAATCTATTTATGATATCTTGACATTTTACTTAAGACGTTCTTACAATAAGAATCAACTATGAATACCGATTTAAATTAACACTTAGGTTAGTATTCATATGCATAATCTATTCTTATTTTAAGACTTTCTTAAATAATATCTTAAGAATTAGCTCTGTAATTAATTCGTAACATCTTAAAGCTAAGACGGTTTTAAATATAAGAATTGATTATGAATACCGGCCTTACTCAGCATGCATTCCACTTAACATTTGCATACATTCGCGTGCATTTCTTGTTTAATTTAATGATAACAAGAATGAATAATACTCGCGAGCATTGCGAACGTTAAGGAATGTACAGAGTACCTTCAGAGTAAAGTTTTAAAACGTAGCCCAGAAAATCATTTTTTCTCATAAAAGAGAATATTTTAGCTCATGGTGCTAAGACGAGATCGTACTCTCACTTCACGTACATACATTCACATGTATTTCAATGTGACAATATTATCAGGTGATTGACTAATTTTGCTTAAGGTCCTAGTCTAGTTATATACTTTTTCTACTAAATTAATCAAAATCGACACGACGATTCATGTTATCATTTCAGTAGAAATACATGTAATAATTACATATTAGTAAGTCACACACACTAAATTTTCTAATTATACACTGCATATGCATTTATTTCACAGAACGGCCATAGCAAAAGATAATATATAAAGAAAATATATAATCTTCTGCTTGGTCTAATTCAGGAAGACTTAAAGCTTGAAGATTGAGTGCACTAAAAATGAAACGAATATCGCGATATATAGATTTGTTTTTTATCGATGAACTGATACACTCGATGCAATAAATTGAAGTGAAATAAATATAGTTTGTTTCACTTCGACTTATTGCATCGTGTGCATCAATTCAGAAAGTTCTTTGATAAAGCACAAGCCTTTTCATTCAAAATATATTTTTTTCTCTACACAGCTAAAGAGACTAGATTAGGACCTTAAAAGGTTGTATGTATATATGAAACTCTCTCCAATCGTCAAATAAGTATTTGTTAGCACAATCATAAACTCAATCGTCAATTATTTAACATAAACAATATTAAGTTAATATGTATTTCAATATAATATATTTTAAGGCCAAAACTTTAACGTATTCATCGTTCTCAAATCCCATTATCGTATACAAGCTTGTCAAAGATAACAGTACGTCATACATAAACAATTAGTGATTATTTGTATTATAAATTCATCGTTATTATTCAATAATTTTGAAATTTATTAAAACATTTGTCGTACTATACAGGAATTACCTATAGGAATTACCTTTTTAGTTTTTTTCAGTTAAAATTTTGGGACAATAAAATGATAACGACTAGTATAAAATATAGAGATAACAATACGCGCGTGTGTATATGCGCAATCTCTTTGGATGTTACATCTTGTTGTTTTAATTTTTAACTACATATATTAAACTCGATTGTCAGGGACGGACAGTGAGGTCATTAAATGTAAATAAAAATTAGAAATAGCCTATTTGACACTATTGGCCCCTCCGAATAGTACGAGGTTAATTTTTTCCGACTATTCGCAGCGCGAATAGCATTAGAAGTCTTTGCAAAATAGAGACACATGTAAATACAGCAACATGAAAAAATACTATCCTATCGCTGCGAATAAAACGACTGTATTTAGAAAATGCAACGATTATGCAATCAAGAGTGAATTTAAAAATAATGTATAATACAATCTCTAATAATTATGGTATGATATAATATAATAGCAATATTATGAAAAAAGTTATTAAGATATTTAAATGAAAAATATTGTAAGAACAATTACAAGTACTTGATAGGTTTGTCATAAAAAGTCATGTATCAAAATTATAAATAAATAATTTTGTTTACAGAAATTTAAAAAACATTTAGAGCTCGGTACAAGACAGCAAATTTAAATGATATAATTAATATACTTATATGATATAATATTCAGTATGTAGATTTCTTTTAATAAATTTCCGAAAAATCGTAAGTATTTCACCATTTTATACGTTGTAAAATACATTAAAATGTATTAACTGATCATAGTGTGTTCACCCATTGGGCAATTAATGCGTTTTCCAAATACAGCCGTACGATGATTACGAGTGCGTAGCACTTTTTATAACTCCATAATTGTTTATATCTCAACGCATATAAACACTTATGCACTCGATCGCACGGACGATTGTATCTTCGGCGGAGGTAGCGTGGTCAATTAACCCATTGCCTTCTCAACTCATCCGCGATTAATCAAGCACAGATAACATTCTTTTTCTCTTTTCCAAAAAAACTAATTGACAAATGATTAAACAAGAGTTGAGGGAATGACGCAATGCCACGAAACATTCGTGATTCGGCGGGCATGAGAAATGGGCTAATCGACGCGATTAACAGGTTTTTTAACTTCTTTAATTTATCTCTTTAATCGCTAAAAATGCTTAACAACGGGGATAACGATTTTTTGCCTCTCGAAATGCATCGCGAGCAAGCTCTTAAATTTATTGCTTCTTCTATTCTAGAACTGTCCCGTACATACGACTTCGGCGCTCAACGATAACGATTCTGCGAGCGTTGCTCTGTATTTCGGGTTGAAGTCTTCGCAAGAGAGAAGACAAATAAAGTTTTAAAATTGATCAAATCTGCTGAGCACCGAAGACATGACATCACAGTAAAACATCCAGCCGCTCTTTGTTCGTAGCCGATGATTTATTATTAGTATATCGAAAATACCGCAGCTATGCGGCGGCGACGACGGCGGCAGCGCAGCGCAATCTCTTTATCAACGATGTGAATAAAATATTGACAATGTACAATAATCAAAGTCTGTATTAAGCCGACGTTTAATCTAGTGCGTCGTCAAATGCTTCTCTTTATCCCTTCTACCGCTTTCACAGGCAGTATTAAAGCTAAGAATCTGCCACGAATAGTGTAGTATGTACGAGGGCGAAAGATTAATATTTTAGCTTTTCGGATTTCATTTTTGCGAGCAACGACGACGATGAAAATACTGATTATTGATATTTTGGCAGCCGATGTTCGCTCTAAGCGAATAGTAATTTATTAGCTCTATTATTGGATAAGGAGAATACACTCTGTTTAGCAATGCACCTCCAGCTGTGCACACGGTCGATCCAGCTTTCTCTAAATTACCTATCTTAATGTGGATTGTCCAGTACCAAGTTTTGTCTTCGTACTTTCGGGGACGTAAAAACCCGTATGCGTTAGCGAGCATACGAGTAAAAGAACCAATCAACGTCAAAAGCAGGCGGGCAGTGGTTTCTTGATTTTTTTTTTTTTCATTAATATTCATATTAATATTTCACGCGGCCGATCGTCCTTTCGTCCTTTTTCCTGCTAAGCGGTCCATCACGAGGCACTTGGACAAATCGACTTCGAATTATTGCGGAGCCGGGCTACTTTTTCGAAGATACGGATTATCGTATCTAGTCAATGTCATACTTCATCATTGTCGAAAACTGGTGAGCAGTCACAAATCTCCAATGCGTCCAGTTCTCACGCTTAAGTGGCATACGGGTGTTACTGCAAAAATACGAATAGTCTACCGCACGAATGCACAGAACACTCGATTTAGCCTCGATCTTGATAATTCGCTGCTTAGATTTTCACCTGCGAATTACGTAGACGTTGATGGCGACGACAAGACCTGATGGTTTGGTTGATAATACCTCAGGCCATTTATCTAAAAAGAAAAATAATTTCAAATGAGAATAATTTTTTCTAAATTTCTTCCATTCAAATTCACTTTACCGTACCGTCATATCGTATTCCGTGATGTACGCTGGGATCTCGAGTTGATCAGGCGGCATAACTTCATAAAGATATTCTACTCCGGGTAAATTGTGAACTTTTTGCTTAATAGCTGGAGCCATGAAGGTAGTGAACCACCACGTCATCATCTATAACAAACAATCAATTGCATTTATTTAGTGAAAATTGAAGTTTCTTTAATATAAAATTGTAATAGGAAGAGAAACAAGAATATAGCTTGCATAAAGGTTGCTTGATATCACTATCAAATTTTAGTTATCATTAAAGTATTCTTTAACAATTCAAAAAATGTTTATTGAAAATTATTGCGTGGAAACGTATTTACTAACGAAGGCCAGGAAATTCGATACGATCGTTTCGAAGATGATTCGTCATGCACGTGGGAAATGCAATAATAACGTTCATTAACGGGTGCGGTTTTGCATCTTAAATAGCGTTTATCAAGTTCTCATTATGTCAGCAATTACGCGATGATACTATTACTAACCTTGGTCCAGAAGGTAGGATGGATAATGTAGAAATGTTTTAGATTCTTCTTATATCTGTAAAAGGAATTCTGTTTCAAGATTGCTATCAAATTTCTGCAAACAAGCGGAATCAAGTTGCATAAGTAACTACTCGTTGCAATTTGCGATTGCATAACTAAAACCAGTAATTTAGCAATACTTTAGTTTCAGTTCTTTTTTAACAAAGTAAAAAAATAATATTCTTATTTTCATTCTACAGTGACATACAATACTGTCCAAATGTTTTTTCTGCCTCACGTGATAAATGTTTCAAAAAGAAACATTTAACAAATCATATTTTCGGTTCTGTTAATTTTTTAATTGAATATTGGAAAAATTTAGATTTTCCAATAAATAATCGAAAAACTGTCACCAAATTTCCAATGTCGCTCAAATATTTTATTTTATCCTGTACATTGTATGTATCGTAAAGATTCCGTGATTCTACATTAAAATGCGATCAATAGGTTCGATGCGTTCGATATCTCAAGCGTACAACTTACTTGTAGGGAAGCACATTGTAGACTTCGCGCAGCCAGTGTAAACTGGGGTAATTGCTGCTGGCCGTAAGGGTGTGGAAATACGCGATAACGTAGTCTCCCTTCACGATAGGATCCAGTAATTGTATCAGGTATAGCAAGGCCTAAAATTACAAAAAGTACCGAGATAAAAAAAACAGTGTATTTCGTTAAATTGCTCGCTAGTGTCATAAAAAGAATAAATCGCGGCGATGCACCCTTTAAAATAGTTTAAAACGCATGTTGAAAATCTATATTGCGTAAAAAAAAAAAAAAATGCGTTGTCAAAGAAAAGTAGGGTAACAGGGGTAAATATGTCCTAAAATAAATGCTGCGTAAATATTCTCGGGATCGATGAGACGTCAGCGATGAGATATACAGAATATGTTTCGCAAGGCTTTCCTACGTCGTGGAATATGTGATGTATCCCCTATAAGTTCTATTGAAAGAATCAACGCTATTATGATTTCATCGTTTCACCTTCATGAGTAATCTGAAAGTTCGATAAATGTCCGAGAATGTCGAATGATCAATGAACCCATAGCATACATTTTGCGTAAGCGCGATAGGGATATAATAATAGAAATTTAGGCTCTGATATCACAGAATTGAACTGTATTTTGCAATTAGGCAAACAAAAAGATTATATAAATTTCAAGATCAAATAAATTTATAGAAATCTGTTTAGTGCGGAAATCGATGTCTCAAATGGTCTGTAACGGAAGGATCGATTTCAAGGATATTGAGACAATTAACTGAAATCTGTCGGTCGTCGTTCAATGTCAACATGACATACAAGCGTATTTACAAAATAAATTGTTATGTACATAGCTAGCAAACATAGGTATAACTGCCATATAACATATACACGGTTTACTCTATCCTCTAAATTCTTTGGAATCTGATTCTAAAGAGTAAAAATTAAGTCAGTTTTGATAAAGAGATTGTTGTTACTTCTTAACAACAATTTTAATATTGCTATATTAATTCTTTGCTCTTTTTTACTAACATAGAATTAATACTGATAATACTGATTGTAAAGATATAATGTAAACTTCGCAGTTATTTCACAAACATATTCTTATACGAATCAACTATGCGTATCTGATTACAATCAAATAATATCATCACGCAATGTGTACGTCGATCGTTATTATTTCAATGTAAGACAATGAAGAGGTTGAAATTTTTTCGCTTTTAGAACTTCCATTTTAGCAAGAGCTCTGAAGCGAAAAATTCGATGGAAGATAAATCAGTGGTGCAATCAACAATAAATTCGTGCCAAGTTGAAATGACGTCGATGTTATTCCGTAAATTGCGAAATGTGTCGCTGTGTATTGTGAACCTGAAGACGTTATCTCAGGTCGCTGTGTAACTAGCGTCCTAACTGAGCGTAAATGTTTCATCTCAAAAGCGGGTCAGTGGATACAAAGACGCGGAGGGAGATATCGCACAGATTGTTTAAATTAACAAACTTAATGAGGAATCAGTATTAATAGCGACTGATATTACGCACATCGCATCTCTCGTCTTAGAACACGCACCTCACGCGAACGTTCCGTTTACATGACGTTGTTTCAACAGCCGCTGCATAGCAAGTGTATATTTTTAGTACCGACGAATCTCTATATGACGTTGTTGATATTCTTATCTCGAATAAAGTCAAAGTAACGAGACATTCTAGATCGCCGGTAGCGAATCAGCAAAAAAAATTGAAGCAAGTGAAGCTTTTTTTTCTTGCACGAACGTGAAATGCGCCACTAAATAATTAGCGACATACAAGTCACGATGTTGATTTAAGAAACGAGGATATGTTGATTTAAGAAATAAGTGCCAAAACATTCGTGATGTCTTAGTATACATATGTAAGAATGACTTACGAAATTGCACGTTTTCTTTTTGCATACAGAAACATATACCGAACTTTCTCGTTCGATCAGAAGCTATTTAAAAGTTGCGATTTTAAAAAGTACAAGTCCTATTTAACACAGTTCTCTTTCTGAATTTCAAAATATTTTTTTACAGATTAACTTGCTATATGAGCGTTTGTTCATTTCATATTTTATTTAATTTGAACCGAGACATTTCCGTTGCCGTCGATAATATTGGAAAATATAATATGTAAGGAAGAAATTATTGTATAGAAGGTCACGATTATTATGTGTGAAGAAAGCTGACATATCACAAGCTATTCCATTTTTTTTGTCGACTGTAACTTCCACAAATCCGAAGCGAAAATTTTTTAATGATTGTAATGTGTACGATTAATACTATAAGATTTAAATTGTAAATTAAAAAACTTTAAACTTTCTTCTATCAATCGCCATAAAGCGGAAGTTCAATTGCACTCTATACTTCAAATAGGATGCTTTAAAATTCGGGTGTACTGCACAGTTAAGGGTTAAATATTTACGAAAAAAAAAAATAAAGAAAGTTTTGATGATCGATCGATTTCTGTCTTCTAATCGTCAACTATTTCATGTGCTGATATTCGCAAATCATTGTCGACGTATAAATAGGTTAATAGGATGAGAAAATTTCATTGAGGATGGGGGTGCATGTCGCGACGACGACGTTGCAGTTCGTTCTCGCCCTCCCCATAGGAGAACTCGTTCCGCGGTCGGTCTATTTCTGGACGTGTAAATATCGATTCGCCACCCGCCGCTATATCTCACTGCGTTCCGGCTATGAGCGGAGTAAGGATAAGTCCGACAAGGAAAGGAAATGACACAACGGGACACAACTGGCGCAACAAGATATGTGCCAAATGATCAAGACTTGGACGCGACGCAATCGAACGGTATGCGCGAGTCTGTGATTCTATGCACGGACTCGATAGAGCCGGCACGTATCTAGAATATCTGGAAATGAGGTAGAGGAAAGTGGTACAATTTTTCAAATCTGTCTGTAGTTGAAAGAGACATTTTTGCTATAATGAATTTTGGAACGTTTCCGATATCTGATAAGAAAATTTGTATTTTGCAAACTAGCGATACAAATTCTCGTATTAGCTGTCGAATATTTTCGAGAGTTATTTAAAAAAATATTTCGATCTTTTCGAGCATTACATTGATAAAGTTAACATGAATACGTAATTTATTAAAAAATTGTATTTATCAGAAAAGTAAGTGTAGTCGTGAAATTATATCTCGCTTTAACTTATAAAGAAATGCTTCATAATGTTTAATTAAAACGTATTAAGATGATACGATAATACATAGCATCAGTATATTTCAATTTTTATGAAGCCGATACATGCATCGATAAAATTAATAAATACGTTATACCTTTTATAAGAATTTATTGAAAAAAATGTATTTATAAGAAAAGTCAATAGTCGAAATTATATCATTTATAAGCAAAGGTTCAATAATGTTTGACTAAAACATGTTCGTGTGCAATAATGTCACTTAAATGTACACACACATAGGACAAGGACACAAAAATCAAAGACAACTTCAACAGAATACTCTATAAAACACTTTCTATTATACATTCCAAATCGATTAAATTATAAGAGACAACCAAGAGAGAATGACTATAGAAAGGATATATAATGTTGCAATCTTCAATTACTTGAAAACGATTTTGTAGTAAGATAATTGCAATATAATTTTTATTTTATTTAAAGAAGATCATACATCTTCAACAACACCATTCTGTCGAAATTCTACCGGTGGAATAATTTCTATTATAACGTTGCTGAGTAGCAGATTTTTTTTTGTGTAATCCGTAGTAACATTGATTTTCAGGGCACATGCAAAGGTCTTTACCTTATCTAGATTGATTTTGCTGGCCGGGAACCATTTGCCGACGAAAACCACCACCGGTCGGCCTTGTCGGTCCACACCGCTCTGATACAAACAACCAATCCCTGAAACCTCAGTCAGATCCTCCGTCTTTGCCCTCCTAAGAAGTCTTTCGTACCTACAAAAGAGCGATTTCATTCGCCTTATAATGTTCGCAAGCCTTTTTTGTATCGTACTCTAAAAGCCCATTCTTTTAAGCCCATTCTACAATTGCGTAAGCGTAGTTGTAAATGGTGTAGTTGCAAGAATTAACCAATCACAGTCGAAAAAAATATTCGATTGTGATTAGTCAATTTTTACAACTACAATTACTTTCAACTACGCTTACGCAATTGTAGAATGGATTTTAGAGTAAATTTCACTCTGAAAAATGATCTCTCACTCTCAAGCCGATATTCATAGTTCATTAGTATAGTTAAAACTCTTATTAAGATGTCATGAATTAGAGAGTCGTATTAACATTAAGTCGTATTAAGACATTACTCGAAACTTAATTAAATAATGTCTTAAAACATTATTTAATTAAGACATTACTTAATCACTTAAGATCTTAAAATAAGAACCCACTATAAATAATGGCTTTAAAAGTCGGAAATTGAACCATTTTTTTTTCAAGCTCTCAATTTTCGCTATTTAGAGTGAAATTTCGTCCCAAAGGATTTAAAAAGTATATTATTATAATACATCGCTCGATAATATTTTATACTTTATCATATATTCAGTATACGAGCTTTTTTTTAGTGTATATTAATATATTTTACAGACACGTAAAATATATTAGTAATATTTTGCGATAATATTTTACTGATACGTTTTGTTTTTTCAGGGTTACGTTAAATGCACGATAAGATAAATTAGGCTATTATACTTATTCACTATAATGTTCTTAGTATGTTCATTAATGGGTTTTCACAAAATTGCGTGCGTGTGGAAAATTTTCTAAATAATTAATACCTGAGACCTTCAATAAATACCGAAACGTAATACATTTGTTACGATTCGTCGAATTATTAATTCGATATCATTTTTAAGCAACTATTAAAAGAAACGTTATAGAATTTTTCATTGACAGTAGAACTGATGCGCACTCAGTGCACTTTAAAGCTTTTTTACAAATTCAGTTATATACAAATCGATCTAAAGATGTATGTTAATAAAAATAGAAACGAATTAAATCGCAAAATTCTCAATACATTTTATTATATTATTTAATAAAGTAAACATTCGATATTTATCAATTAAAATATCTCACATTTACATTCAGATTAGTATGCAAAAATTTTAATATGAGCACTGAGTGCGCATCACAGTTCTGTCAATAAAAAGCGCTATTAATTTAAATAAAACGAAATCATTGATTTTGTGATGTGTTAATTTGCGACGAGTTCAAAGGAAGATGCGGTGTGATACAAAACGTGTTCGGAAGCGTTTCTCGAATCTTGCAATACAATCTTGTTATCATGTAATTTTAATTATATCATTGAAGATCGTACTGCTTTTGCATAACGTAAATGGCAAACAGTGATATGTATAAAAATACATTTTCGTAAAATGTATAAATTTCATGGAAATGAAATTTCATTTAAATGTATCGCAACTGATCGGTCAATTTTTAAGCTCTTTCTTTCAAAATTCCTGAACGCAAGTGAAGTAAATCAGTGTAATAAAACCGTATTATGCATGAATTCTTAGATTCTAGGTCGATCATTACCAGCTTCGATACATTTTTTAACAGTAATCGGTATGGAAAAATCATACTGGACGAACGCCAATAAAGAACAGGGATCAATAGCGAGCCAATAACGAGACCGAGATTCATAGGAATTGCACTCGACACGAGGTTCGATGACGCGCGAGAAAACGACAAGTATTACTCTCAATACACACCGGTCCTCATCCTCGATGACATCCACCATGTCAATCATGACCATACTGATGTCACGTACCCTTCGTGTGTGATTTCACCCTCCGCGATCTTTCCTTAGTGAAAAGAAAAGAAGGAAAAAAAAATCAATCAAGGCTCACTAACAGTCGTGTGTAAAACTGTCTTTTCCCGCGACATCCGTCAAAAAGGAGCGTCGCGGTGCTACGATGGACTGAGAAATCACGCACAATTCTCGTTCGATCAGTGCATGACTGAGGGAGGCGACGGAGAGGGATGACAGCAGTACGACGAGTCGCGGCAAACTGAACGAACTGAACTGAACTGAACCGTTTTGTCTAGAGAAGGAGAGCCGCCTCTCGGCTGCGACGTTCGCGACGATCACGATGACTACGACGTCTACAAGGTAATCCCGCACTTCGCCGGGAGTCCTGCCGAGGCATCGCACGGCGCCTGCCCGGCTCGCAGAATACTGCGTGCTCGATACGCGCGAGGCGATCAGGTGGAGTAGGGATTGCGAGTCCGCCGTTTAATTCGATCGCGATGTGTATTCCTTTAATTATGAGTAGTATACCTCCCACAATAACCTTGAATGACTGTCAACACATTTGTCATTCTCTGTATTTTTTTGTATATCATTTTTGTAATGAGAGACAGGAAAACTGGAATACGCCATTCGAACGATTATTCGCGATATTTGTATTCGCCAAATACGCTCGTTTGATATTATAAACAAAAAAAATTGCATCTGCGTGTCCGAAAAATAAATTATTATTTTGAAAAAAGACAAAGATTTAAAAGAGTGAATGTTAATAAATTTTTATCATTGGAAATTTTATTTATAGGAAATCATTCAATTTTCATTGTTATCCGGCACGGTCTGGCAACTTTCGGGTGAAATTTGGCCCAATTTAGAAATAATAACAAATTGTATTTAAGAACACAATAGCTTTAGTATAAATATAGACTTTAATACTTTCTTTGAAACATCCTTTCGTGATTGAAATGTATTTTTGATCGAATTCGTATTAGACGACTGTGAAGGCCAATCTAAAGAACTGATAACATTTGCATTTCGGTACACAACTATTGCGATGTTCTAAATCGATGTCATATTACGTTTAACATCACAATATATAGAGATTAGACAATATTAACTTTTACGATAAAACTATTAAGATTTATTTTAATTCATTATTTCATTATATTTCTTACCTTAAAATATAACATTGTTTCAATATCATTATAGTATTAGGTGTTGGAATTAATTCGTAGCGTTTTACAAGTGATGGGAAGTACTTTCATTAATGTATTTTTTAATGCTCATGTGAAATAAATAACATTCTTTCATTAAAAAACGCTACGAATTAATTCCAACACCTAATACTATAATGACATTAAAACAATGTTATATTTTAAGGTAAGAAATATAATGAAATAATGAATTAAAATAAATCTTATTCAAGGAGAGAGTAGAGAGGTACAAGATTTTTCTTTAATATTGAAAGATTAAATTGAAACTTATTATTGAGAATATTTGTAAATCATTACATATTTTTTTTTTAATAATAATTTTTCTTTCATGCTTTTGCATAACAAACTATTTCCATCATTAAAAGAAGCAATCTTATGTTTTGCAAATATTCTAACAATAAAATTATTTTATAAAATTAAAGTATTAAAGTATTCTTTTTTTATATAAACTGGAAAATTTTAACATGTCTAAAAGAGATACATATTGACGATATATATCGAATTAGCTAAAATTTTCGTGCGTAATAAGAATATTTGGCGCATCCGAGAGTATCTCAGATTGAAAAAACGTGTTTCACAGATTAACGAAACAAACGGTATATTTCGCGAAATTTCAGATAACTCGTGATTATAAGTAGAAGTATACTAAGTGAAAAAACATAAGTGAAAAAACAAATTCATTATCATAATTTGCATTAAAAATATACGAACAATAATTAATTAGATAAAACTGATAATTATTTAAAAACAAAACAAGATAATATACATGCATTGTTTTTCAAATTATTCTTTCTAAGATAAAATTAGTCAAATTACGTAGACGTTGATATTGCACGCGATTACATCAAGTTGTTGCTTAAGACTGCAGTTTCATGACTTTGACCTCGATTAAACAAATCCAAGGTATCTTATCGAAAGTATGACACAAAAGTATTTCCTAATGTATTTAGATAGTTCTGTAAAATTTCTGATGGAGATAAAATCGTATTTCAGATCGCAAATGTATGATAATATGTAAATAAAATTTTTATTGTTTGAAAATAAATCGAATGTATTTTATAAAAGATTATTTGTTTCAACAACGTTACATGTAATATACTATTGACATTATATAACACACCAGTATAATGGATTATTAACTCATTAAAGCAATCGTATTTTAGATCTCAAAATGTATGATAATATGTAAATAAAATTTTTGTTGCTTGAAAATAAATCGAATGTATTTCATAAAAGATTATTTGTTTCAACAACGTTACGTGTAATATACTATTGACATTATGTAACACACCAGTATAATGGATTATTAACTCATTAAAGCAAAAAATAGAGTGGTCTATACTTCGAAAAAGACTCACTTAATGAATCATCTGATGTAATCAATGGTTCGAGTCACACATGGGTTTGTCGTGTCACTGTAATAAACCCTCACATATCACGATAAAATGACATCGATGACAATCTTGGCCTCAAAATAAACATTTAATATGATAGGAAATGTCAGGTCTGAAACGATTGATTTATTTCTATGACGCAAATGATATTTCAGCGCTGAAATTAATTAGGTACAGGTATTACAAAGCAAACTTTCGTATGTGCGTCATAGTCGCTAAAGTCGATAATTCGTAGACATAAACAATATTAAAGCTCGTAAAAGCTGTAATGATTTCGGCATTTACGAAAAATATTACAGAAAATCAAATGCCTAAAATTATATTATTGTTAGATATAAAATGATATAATCGAAAATCGATCGATGAAATTACACGTAAACACACATGAATAAAAAATGCCACATTCAATGCGATTCTTCATGTCTAATAATATTTCTTGTGAATTTATATAGTTTCCAGTTCAAGCAAACCGCGCGTCGATTATTTTGTTAATCTTGAAACACAGTTCCAAACCAAAATTGAAGCACAAATATCATAAATTAATGTGCTTTGATCGAATTGGAAGGACGCCCGCACGGAATACAGGAGATCCGGATTCGAATCCAGACTGAGAAATATTACATTTAATATTTTTCGCAATAAATTATTTACAGTTTTTGAGATATTAGTTAGCATCAAATTATTAACAGCCATTTAAGATGCGCATCTTAAAAAGCTATTAATAGTTTGATGCTAATAAGCATTTCAAAAACTGCAAATAATTTATTAATTATTTATCACCAATAATATTAAACTGCTCGTCAACTTATTTGATCAAATATATATAGATATGATACTATTTCGTCGATTGTGATATATAGATAACACCGGATAATCAATAATTATTTGTGGTACATGCGTGAAAATACCACTGTTAACTAATAAAATCTAATAATAATACTAAGAATTTTGTGACATAAAATTATTTGTGCTTGAATATACAAAGTTAATATCAAATAGGAAACTTTAAAAGAAAATAAAAACTCCACAGAAAATAAAAACTTCACAGAAATTACACAAGAATATATGTTAACATATAACATTATTATTTAAAATAATTGCGTATTAATTAAGATAATTATTTGAAATAATTGCGTATTAATTAAAATAATTAATTAATATAAGTTGTTCTGCAAAAGTAAGTAGTGAACTCTATAAAACGAGAGCAATAATCTCGAAGAAAGTAATAAATTCGGCATTTGTGGAAAATATTACAAAAAAATCAAATATCCGAGGTTATATATTACAAAATGATATAATAAACTGAATTACAATTGACTGATGTCCTTTATATTCCTAAAAGTTTACTATTCATTTTATATGTTTATAAATACATTTTTTTCTTTTTATGTAGATATAGAAGAAATCTTTTATTAGTCATATGGCAACATTTGACTTTTGTATCGATAAGAGATACAGTTTTTCTGTACAAATATATTTTTTTGTGCTACGTGGATAAAGAAGAGAGAAACATGGCACTGTCAAGTCATTAAAACTTTATGTGTTAAAACATTCAGCTTTGCAATAATTTTCCTAAATAATGGTCTGCTAACTTCGGATATATTGATAAATTAGTGTAATGGCCACAGCACAGACTCTTGCATAACGCACAATGCATAATGCATAAAGGAATCAACCAATCGAAATTCTTCTTTTCCATGCAATAAGAGGAAAGGAAAGGTTCTGATTAATTGATTCGCATATGCACTATGCGTTATGCGTTATGCAAAAGTCTGTGCTGAGGCTTTAAATGATGAATTATAAATACAAATTTTCTTCCCTGAATTTTTTAAAATAATCAACGTCTCTCTCTTCAATATTAATAATGTGTATTATTTCGATCTGACCATAAAAATAAACTCGTATTATTCTTTTGATTTAAACGTGATTAAAACTGATTACTCACAGCTAACTGTCTATTAATTTATTGCAAATTAATTGATTATTACAAAATTAATCCCAAAGTTAGAAAGAAAGCTTACAAGAATCAAGTTTGGCTTTAAGACTTTTTTTAAATTTTGAATTGTTATTCTAGAGTTTTACTTACTTTGAAAATTAATTTTGTTTCTATAGAAAAATAACGTACATATTGTTTAAACAATCCTTAAAAATTATTAAAAAGTATCTCACAAATTTTCGTACCTTTCTTTATGTTGCATTTGCTTGAGCATAATATCCGCTAGTGGATCGGCAGGTCTCTCTCCCAAAAGTCTCTGTCGATCCAAATCACCTTGCATTTGCGCAAAAGCATGCTCGCCAATATTAACCGAAGTTTCTAATTGTGATGAAAGTTCTACTGTATCGTCGCCTGTAAAAGTGCGATGTGCTTTTCAAAGTTATATCGTATTAAACGTTTGTATGTAGCTGCAATGTTACATTGAAATATTTCTTTACCGTGTAAAGCGTGCTGAGGATTGTCAATAATTCTGATTTGTCTATCCGGAAGTAAAGGTTCTCCATCCATGCCGCCAATATCATTCGGTAACTGCCAGCAAGCGTTGTCCTGTTCTGCCAAATTTCGGGGAAAATAAAGTGGCAGAAGAATTTCATATATTCCAAGATCGCACGGCTCTAATACAAATATAACACATGTTAACGAATCGTATTGCTCCAAGAATCTACGTACAGTTCCTAAAAGAGAAGAAAGAATTTATTTAGCACTGACATATGCTTAAATTAACACAGATGTATGCTTGCTGTAGTGTACTTACTGAGAGCTATATGCGCTCCTGCATCCGGAGGATAATTTCTTCGTATTGAATTTATTACAGGTAGAGCAATAGTACGTAATCCCATTTCCCTCGCCTTTTGTAGAACATTCCTACGGTAAAGAAAATTATATTATAAAGGGAGGGTCAGAAGGCTTAATTCTTCTGCTATGAAGAACTATGTAGTGCATCTACAAACCTACTCCTGTATACAAACGGCTATAGTAGAATGGGCACGAGAGAGAGAGAGAGAGAAAAAGAGAGAGAGAGAGAAAGAGAGAATAGCTAATCCAAAACGATAATATAAAAATAAATAATTCTTTGCGGCATGTTCCAAAACGTATGTCGTGATATTATTATAACATGTAACAGAGCTGTACATAATTTTGAATTCTTCTTGATATATATTACGATATCTTATATTATTTAATTATTGGTGTACTTCTTATTATCAGATATAATATAAACGAAAAAGTAATTTTATTTATAACAGGAATTTCTTGTTTTCATCTTAGAATGCTTGTAAATTAGTTTCATTAGAAATATATCATTACAAGATATTTTCATTAAATAATTAAGTTTTAATTAAGTAATTAAGTTTTCAATGCTATCAAATTTTTTCTTTGTGGTTTTAAGGCGTTTCCCTCATTGGCAGGATAAAAATCGATTTTTTTATTGTATATTTTTTAAAATCCTTAAACACGTGTAGAATTTCTTTTAATGCGGATTGCATCTTCTGTCGCCACATATCGGTGAGAATTTGGGCCACTGTGTACTCCCATAGATTCAAATATTTGTAACAATGCCGTGGAACCTTCATTAAATACACAGGCAGAGATGTGTGCAGCAAGTTCGATAGTTTTTAATCCATTTATTGAGATAATTTTTGGATTGATTTTCCATATCAGCTGATTATAACGTTCATTGTCATTTCGATTAAAACCGCCAATGCATCTTTTTAATAATTCCTCTTTACTTAGGTCTTCATATATTGGTTTAATAGCATCCAAAATATTTTTAGGCAGAGACTCGTAATCGTGTTTATAAGAGCCAAGTTCGCCATTCGCGGAAGCTCGCTGCCAGGTACACCATGATTCAGCTCCGGTCGGACATTTGTCGTGTTGTGGAGATTCATCTGTTGAGCTGTAATGGAAATATGTGGCCCATATCGCATTTCTCATTCCATCTACTGAGTCACAATTTTCCTGTAACGCTAAACCATAATAAAGTGTTAATATATCAATCATTTTGCCAGTCAGTTTTTCTCCGAACTCTTTCATTTTCATTTTGCACTCACGCAATCGATGCCCTATTCTTTTCTGCACATGCTCTATACATTCCTTCTTTATAACTAAAGTATCATCATAAGGAGCAAAATTTATATCGATATAAGTTTTAGAGTCGCTATCACCGATGTAATTTATGTATTTAACATTGTACTTATCTTGTGAACGTTTAAACATATTGGTGATAGCGCCTATTTTCATTTCTCGATTTACTGAACAATTATTGTTATGTGTTTTCGTCCACTCTTCGTACTCAGCTGTATCTTGTTTTTTCTCCCAAAACTCACACGCTTGACAACATGAGTTTTTCACAACAATATCAAGTAATTTTCCAGTATAGTATCCGATAATCGAAGAAACTCCATACAGTGATGCGACACCACGTTTTTTCCAAGTATCGTCTACTGATACAGTCAGATCGTTTGTTTCTTTAATATTTTTTTCTATGGATGTTTCTTCTTTCTCTTCATTTACAGCATTTTTAAAAAAGATATTGGAAACTTCTTTAACACAATTGAGTATATTACTTACAATAATATCGTAAGTATTTTGATTTAAAAACTCTGGCATATCCATCAGTCCGCAGAACTTTTGACAACCTTTTAAATCAAGTCCTAGCATTCTCATAGTAAGTATGAAACGTCTATTTATTTCATATGAGTATCCCACAAAAGAACACGAAGGAATTGATGTAGGAGCGCATGTATCGCATATCAGTACTATTTTAAAACCAAGTCCGCGCGCACTTGCTGTTTGAAATTTAACATCACCGTTACATACTTTGCATTTAACAAAATTTGAAATTGCAGCAAATACAGAAACAAAGTTCAAAATTCTATATTCTATAGAATTATCTTGCGGCACAGCAACATCTTTTTGCATCTTCATTTTGATAGCAAAAGGAATAAAATTATTTTCGTCGCTCTCAACATTTTTTGGATCAAAATGTTGTTTCCTTTTCTTCGATTTCCGAATATTCTCTGAACTTTCTAATTCTCTAGAACTTTTTTGTCGATTCATACTGAAAATTATATAATACTTGACAATTGTATAATAATGTTTTAGAAGCGAACGTCCTACCGCACAGCTCTCTGTCAACTGCTATACTACAACGCTTTCTGGATTTCGTTCACCTTGAATTCGAAAACTCTTTGTGTTTACCACTACAAATGTACAAGGCTTTTCATATTTAATCAAGTGTATCTTCACATACACGGCTCACAAAACATTAGAAAGGGGCTACCTTTGTCCCGCGTGTAACTGTCACTCTAAACATTCGAGCAGAATGTGTATTTGAACGGGCATAACTTCGTCAATTTTAATCGGATTAACGACTGAAATTTTCAGGGAATTAAAATATTGTACTTATAAAAAATGTCTAAACTTAAAAATCGATTTTTTTTTATTTCTGACTGAGTATGATCCCTTAACTTTTAAAGCAATTTTGAAATAAAAATGTTTGTGAGATAATGGACATTTGTTATACGAGAGATTAAAATCGAGCAGGTAGCGTAGTGCCATTGTGTTCATTCAGGAGACCGGTTTCTAATCTATTGTGTTAAGACTCTTAAAGTATCTTTACGTGGCAGCGTCAAGCGTCGAGCGTCGAGCGTCGAGCATCGTGAGATTTCTATTCGTCAATTTTGATCACGTGACCTATTTTTAGCGAATAGGAAGCTCACAGTGCTCGACGCTCGATTCTTAATGCTCCTACATAAAGATGCCTTTAGGCTAATCTCCAATTTTAAGATAAAAGTTGGGAAAACCGAAATAAAGTAAATTTTGGCTAATTCTACATACATGTATAATAAACTGTTATAAACGTTTAAATTAGAAAATTAATTTAAAACTTTAAAACAATTTTCTCAAAATAATGTTTACAAAATCCTGAGAAATTCTTCCGAAAAAACGATTTGACCAATTAACTTGAAACTTTACATAATTATTATTAATACTTTTCTGCAATTCGTTAACCACAATTTGTATATATTTATCAATTATTTAACTTTTTTTTTATATAAAAATAGTGAAAAAATTAAAACACAATTTTCGTTTTGCCACCATTTTGTTAAATTTCAATACTTTAACTTAAATGTTTAGTAAATGTAAAATAATTAAAATATTTGAATTACAGAATCACCAAAAATTTCCCGTAATTTTTATGTTATTTTTAAGATAACACACGTAAATGCTAAAATATTCCTGTGTACCAATAGCGTTTTTTGCTCAGTCCTTTCGTAGCAAAAAGATTAAAATTAATTCGTATATTTCTTCTTTTAGTAGAATTTATCTTCTATCCACTTTTTAATAACATCAAAATAAAAATGAGACTAATATTTATGCTTGTCTATATATACTAAATGATTAAATTACCTATAGCAACAATGTAACGTATTTTGCGCAGCTGTTTGATATTTTACGTTGTAAACTGGTCCAACAGTGTGAATAATAAAACGAGCAGGTAATCCGTGACCTTGTGTAACTCTTACTTCACCAGTTCTGCATTCTGCAATTAAAATTTAGATAATTAATATTTTGTTGAGACAAACTTTAATATTATCGACAATTATACACATTGAAATACACCTTTTATTTCATTAAATATTTCTATCTTGAGTGCAGAACCGGCTCGACTAAATATTTTTTGGCACGTAGTACTATTATCATCCATTGTCTCGTTCGTAGGATTTACGACCGCATCTACTTGTAATATTGAGATATCTCCAGTCCTGTAACAGTTTATGGAGCATTAACGTATCGTATAGTTTTTATTATTAACTCGATAAAGTACTCTACAATAATTGGAAAAATACTTTAATGAGAAATTTTAAATTTCGTGTCTAAAATCTCACCATAGCGCGAGCTTGTTGTTAAGCGATGGTTGATAAGGAAAGGGACTTATGGCATGATGCGCTGTCTCCCGAACAGAATCAGAGTAGTCCGTGTAACGATGCTGGTTGGGATAATCAGCCCATCGTTTTAATACTGTCGGCTCCACGATGTCCTGGGCGATACCCAACGGTTCCATCAGCCTCATCCAGCTGAAAATCGTACCATACGCTAGAACGATTATACGTACTATGTCTGTACCCCGACGAAAAACGGAGTAGCGTCCCTTTGTTTTCCTATCAGCTGTTTCAAGCCTAACCTCACCTCATTTCTACCATTTCTCTGCCTGACGTGCGTCATACGCGGCGCGGTCATTGACCCGGAAAGAGTACGTATAACAGCTCAGCTGACTAATATTTGATAATCAATACGAAATTTATGCATTACATTTCGTAAATAATATTATTTAATAAGAGAATATTTAAATGTATGCTTAAAGTTTATAATTAATGTGATAAAGTTTATTTAATGTGATAATATAAATAATATAAAACTTATTGTTATTTTAAGAACTTGGGATTCTCCAACGAGAAAGATTTTTCAGTTATTTTCTTTAGCTGAAATTTTTAGGATGTTTCATTAAAAGTTTCCATCGTCAGAGATCAATAATCGAGGTATTCTATATAAAAACGCGGTGATACTTTAGACTATGTTATTTGAACTATTTTGAACGCGTGTTCATTCGATTCTCGTAACGAAAGTGTCGTGTTAGTTCGGTATTCCATCGTATATTTCTAAAAATAAATAAAGTTCCGTCGATAAAAATGTGGGCCGCGCATCACGGGCAAGGAGAGAACGAAGCTCAACCAAGGACGCAGCTCCGATCGAGCGTGTTTCGAAAATACAAGATAATCGTATATTAGAACAATTGATCCTTTCAGAAGATACGAATTCAATTCTATAAAAGATAGAGGAAATAAATTATAAATATGTGGCCTTGCCAGTAAAATTGAGAAATTTATAAAAAGCGATATTAATCGGTTTAGCTTCTGACAGACTCATTTCGTGGACGCATCTTACTATCTCTCTGTACTTTTTGCAAAAAGGTATAAAATAAAAAGATATTAGATAATAAATTATTGTCTAACGTACACGCAATATCTGATACGGAATTGTATGTTATATTTTAATGCAAATTCTTGCGCGATCGAACGCTGTTTCTAACTGCTCTGTTATCTTGTCGTCCGTTAGAATTATAGGAGCAAAAATGGAGGAATGCATTTGTAATGCTCGTAATTTATAAAAATATAGTTACACAAATCGATACCAGGACATAGTCACGCATTACTGATAATTTGATATTTTGATCAAACTTCTGATTAGCTTAAATAATGTTTATTATAATAGTTTTCTAGTAGTTTTCTTCATCGATATGAATAGAAGTATTATTTTTTTATCGTTTGACGTAAGAAAGAAATATTAAATTAGAGAGGATAAATTATATATTATCGAAATTTTGTCGCAAACAGTTTCATCAGTTGTATCAATTGACGATAAAGTTAATCGAAGTTTGGTCAAAGTCGCTTTAGGGAGTTCGTTAAATCATCGCATTTGAGTAACTTAACCAACTTCTAATAGGCTTAAGTTGGATAGTTAGAGTTCCTATTATACGAAAGTACCTTCCATCTTTGCTCTACATAATAATTCTAATAACTCTAATACTGATAATACTAATAATGTTTTATAATGCTATATACTGCGGAAATTTATTCTACACTTATCGCTTCCTTCTCATAATTTATTACGTTCTTTTGTTTTCGTTGCTTTGTTCGTTGGTGCTTTGGGTTGAATTGTTTGGAGCTATGCATGCAGATAGCAGGATGTATGCTGCCGATAATGGCGAAAAGCTGGGAGACTGGCGCCGTCTGGCCTCAAGCGGATCTTAAGCGTTCTGCAAATCCATTAACGAACAGGACCGTCGACCTCGATACAATAGCCAGAATAATTCACATTTACTCGCAGCAGTAAGGGAGTTCCACCAATCCATATCGATATAAAAAAACCACCGCTCGTATTTATATCTCGGAGCAGTAAAATGATGCGGTTATTATGAAACATTTGTGCCTTCGTCCTGTTAAAGAGCCAAAGTGGTCGCGATAAACTGAGTTGAATATTGAATCTACATATTATCATCATTTATTCAAAATCTAGCTATAATTCGGATAAAGCGAGTTTATTTAATGATCAAAGATAAAAGTAATAAAAGCAACGAGGTAATAAAATACAAAAAGAAAGTAATAAACGAAAAAAATCATTATTTATTAGAAATCTACTGATAACTCAGATGAAACTCAAATTTAAAAAGAAAGGTTACCACAAATTTCTTGAAGATAAAATGTTTATAAAATTCTCAGTAGGAAAATATCTTTATTTATTTTAGAAACGAGAGAAATAAAAATATTGTTTCATGAAAATGCATACATTTGAAATTCGAATTCAAACTACGAGATTTATATCGTAAATCGAAAAACTAAACTTGTAAATGATATAGAAATTCAATGAGCACTCGATTTGTATGTAAAAAGAAAACAATTACTAAATTTTAATAAAATATGTTTTTAAATAATATTAATTAAACATTTTTCCAGTGAAAGAATTAAATTAAAAAAAAATTAATCATGTGATATAAAAAGTGCCAATACTGAACCAACATATTAAGATATTCCCATATTATATCGCTTTGTTGTTTAAAAAGTATCAATCCTATTTTTCATCATCGATACAAAAGTTAGATCTACATATTAAAAAGTTGAGACTTTGCTTATATGATTCGATCTAGAATGTAATACATTGTTTTAATGTAATATATTAATCGTCGCAGAATTTGTACAGTGCATGAACAAATAGCAAGAGCTTCATATTTAATAGCTTGTCCAATAATAAAATAATCAATTATGATAAAGAACGAATAACAAGTAACTGCGATAAAACATTTAAAGTGATAGCCTTGGGACTCAAGATAAATTTACATATTAAAATTAAGTCTTAAGACTTAAGTAAAAAAATGATAGTTAAATCAAATTAATGGTTCTTATACTAAATAAATATATGTTTACATCTAATAAATATTAGTACCATTTAAATAAATATATATTAAAATTTAGTACTTTTATTAATATAATAATGTAAGCCATGTTGAATCCCACGTTTTCAAAAAGAAGATTTCAATTTCAATTGTGAAATGATTGATGAATCCATTGATCACGTATATGTAATTATATTAAGAATGAGAGAGTTAAGTCCACAGGATAATTCACTATTTACGTAATATCAGCTACGTCAGCTCTCTTATCTAACTATAAACAGCCTCGCATACGGCTGACCGATCAATCGATACTCCGCGAGCCGAACACTCGCTTTTACCACTAGTATGTCCGTCGTCTCATTCGTCGTATCATCCGATTCTGAACAGGAATCAGAAATCGACAGATTTGAATATCGTAGTCTTATATCGATGCCCCAATTCGATACTCGAGATATCTTTAGACAGTAAAATTTAGAGATGACGCAGTTTTATGCTCTTTAATGGAAACGCGCGAACAGTCCCGGTTAAACGGGTTACTATCTCTCTATTTAGTATTAATATCAATGAAATATCATTAATTTTAATTAAAACAATGGCGGATAATCGACAATTATACTATTTGTTATCTCATTATTTGAAAATGTTTTATTACATTAGAGCAGCGAAGTGCACACGTTACAATGCACGAAGGCGCATAAAGTTGCAAAGTTACGGAAGCGAGCGGGGTTTGTGCGTTTAACGACCTTACGTCTAATAATTTCATAGCGGCCGATAACATTGTCGAGCACGAAGAGGGTCAAAGCCGTTCGATAAATTCAGCTTCAGAAATAGATTCGAAGCACATCATACATAAGTAATGTGTCAGCTTACGACAAAACGGTGCAATGCAAAAGTCACTATCGCCGATATTGAGATAGTTTAATAACGGTTTCGTATACGAGCTTCGATTTTGCAGTTGGGCACATCGAACGATCGAAAGAACGCACCGATGCACCTTTGAAGCCTTTTCTAGTTCAGTGTTACATGTATTTCGTAACACGAGGGGCTTCCAAACGAATCCTTTGTGCGCGTATAGTCGCCAGCGAAGTGAAAGAGCTCAAAAAAAGAGTTAAATAATAAATCGATGTAATCGGCATAGTTATTTTCACAAAGGTGTTCAAATTATTCTTGTTTAAACTAAATGATCATTTGATACGAAAAAAATAAGCAAATATAACATAATAATTTATTGGAAACAAATAATTAAAATTGATGGTCCTTTACTGCAGTTACATTTAATCTTGAAATCAGAAGCAACAGATAATAAATCGCGTGTAATTTTTTTTTATCGTATCACATGCGCAGATAAATTAATTTCTTTTCGTACCGTTTGCATTCACGTTCGACAGTATAAATTGATAAAATATACTGAAAGCATCCCTCTTGTCCTCTTTAATGAACGTATAATTTAATCTATATGTGTCCTACATTTCCAGCGAAAATGAATCTTATCACGGATAATCAAGATTTATGGCTATCTATTAATGCACACGAAACGAGAACCTTTAGTGTATTCTATAAATTTATTTCATCGGGTACAAATCATCGTACACGAAATAATTGAAGATTTTGCATTAGTGCAGAAAAATATTCATATTTTAAATATACACTAAATCTTTCGAAATAAAATCTCACTTCAAAATTCAAAAGACTGAGAATTGAACTAGTTTTGAAAGAAGAGTGAAAATATTTTCACTCTTAAACAAGAAGGTAATTTTCACTCTTTAGGAGATATATTTCTTTTTAAGTAAAAGTCACTCCAAGGAGTGAAGTCTCACTCCCAAAAAAGAAATGGATTTTACTTTGGAGTGATTTCAAAAGAAATCTTATTCTAAAAAAAAAAGAGTGAAAATCTGCCACTCTTGTTTGAGAGTGAAAAATTTTTATTCCTTTTTAGACTGGCTCAATTTTCACTCCAAAAGATTTAGAGAGCATAATTTCTCATTTTTGACGCTGTAGTTTATTATGACAGAAACTAAAAACTATAATCGGGCGAATGCTATCCATCAAAATGTCAGAGCAGGTATATCTATATCAAAATGCATAAACCATTTCAAGTTTATTAATAGTTTATTAGCGTCCGGTTAT